CCCCTCCTGCCCTTTTATTTTGGCCCCGTTTCCATTTGGCTTCCCGCTGAGGCCCAGCCTTTCCCCTGCGCCCCCCTCTCTCCCCCCACGCGGCTGTGGAGCCCTGGAGGTGTCGGCCCGCTCTGCGGAGGGCGGCCGGGGCCCGCGTGAGCCTCCCTGGGTCGTCGGGCACCGGCGAAGGGTCCGTCGCCGCGGACATCTGAAAATGACCCACAGAAAGCTGCTAAACCCAGGCCGGGCATGACTGACAACACGGCAAACAAAAATCACTGTTTGTGCGTGCTCCTTCATAACGACGAATCTGTAATATGTACAAGCAGTGCAACTCATGGTTACTTCCTTAGCGCTTTCAAGTGCTAATGGCTGAACCACAGACTCTGGAATAATATACTTCGTCTGCCATGTAAATATGTTCATAATTGAGAATGTGGTGGTGGGGGGGCAAAAATAGTGGGTGGTTTTTTTGCGAGGTTCCTGGTGTATATTATGGTTTTCCTGGTCTGGAATCTCCTAAGTTGCTGGAGGTGAGTCAGCTTTGATACTGTCTTTTTTTAGCGTAGCTATGTTATACCAGAACCTGAAAATACATCAGTAAACAGTTGACACATGCATATTGCATGTAGTTGTTTTATGTGACTCCATATAAAGCCACAATATCACAAGTGTTTTATTTTTTATTTTGTTTTCTTTGTTTATTTTTTTTTAATCTACCAGGTTACTAACTCAGAGATTTTTAGGAGAGGCCCCTACCTTGTTGTCAGGCTTTATTTGGGTTTTAGGGCTTTGTGAGCAGCAGGTCACTTGAATTCAGCTTGAACTAAAATGAGGTATTCAAACTTTTTTTTTTTTTTTTTTTTCCCTTGTCACTTGTGTAACGCAATGCCAAAGTAGTCCTTCGTTCAGGGTGAAGGACAAAGATTTTTCAGGATTGCAGACAGACGTGTTTTCTGTGATTTTTTTGTAGTCAGTAGTAGAAAGGGATTATCTTAGAAGTGATTTGATAACTGCAAAATTTGAGAAGAAGACTTGAAATCCACAGAAAAGTATAACCAAACAAATATAGCAAAACAGGGAACAAGTTCCAGTTTATTTATACACTTATAAGAACTTCCATGCCTCAAAATTTATGTAACATTTTCATATCATTTTTTTCTTATTTTTTCCCTCCTACTCTCAAGTTATATTTTTGTTTAGCCTTATGTTAACCTTACCTTATCCTGAAAGAAGCAGACTGTGTGTGCTATGAAGTCTAATTGGGTGTGTTAAATATAAATTCCCTCTGCATACTGCAGTCGTCAACACTGAT